GCTAGTGTCCGTCTCCGGTCCGTCCCCGGTCCGTCGCCGCCTTCGCAGCCACTCGTTTTAAGTTTTGGCCTTGTACTTTTTCTTGAAGTGTCCGTCCACAGCGTGGGGACGGACCGTCCCGTGGCAGGGAAATACCGCCTCTCCCTTGTGCTTCGGACTCCCGCGGATTCCGCGGATCCTACCTCCCGCAGGTGCTGTTCAGGTCTCTTAGCGGTGATGCTTTTGAACGAGCACCGTGGACTCGACAGTGAAACGCGTACCGCCCCTCAAAGGGAACTTCAAGGCAAAGCGTGGGCCTCGCAGGCCACAGCACAGAAGGGGTTTTGGGCGAAATACTGCAAATGGTATCCCAGCTACCAAGTCGTGGATGAATGTAATCGATTTGGGCGATGTTTACGAGCTTGGGCCGCCCAAAACCTCCCCTTTCAAAATGGGTTGAACGATCGACCCAGACCGCTGGAGTTGAATGAAGTAGCTGCAAATCGTGTCGCTCAGATGCGGACGCGAGCACGCCCTGATGATGTAATCAGTATTTCTATCCTTGGGACAGGAAACTTGAGTGACGAGCCCGATATCATCCATCCTATTGTGCGGGCGCATCTGGTTGATCCGACATCTGGAAGGTATCTTGTGCCATCTACGAAAAGTAGTTGCCAGGGCGTTGGTGGGCTGACAACATACCACGAGCAGGCCTCGGCTCTTCGAACGGATTCTCTTAAATATGCAACGGGGGTAGAAGAGATGGATGTTCCCGTAGAACACGTGTTACCAATTGCAACAGCGCCTTGTCATCTACAGGGCCGGAGCATTGCGCCTGTTTGGAATGAATCGTGTGTTATCAACCTACCCTATCGTGATCTTCTCGACCCTAATGTGCTTATACTCTTCGAAATTGTCGATTTCAATCACATCCAATCCCACTCAACACATCGGGAGCACACTGATGGGCTCTACGGGTTGGCTTGGGCATACTTGCAACCTGTTGGCTTGCATGGTGACGTCTATGTCGGTACTCGTGGTTCCATACCAAAGGGACAGAAGCTGACCGGAGCAACGGGCGCCGGTGACGACGAGGCGAAACTTTCCATCCGGCTCCAACTGTACGACTATAAATCTCTATCACCGTCAGCAAGATACACGGCACTTGCCTCTGGTATATCAGCGCCTCCGGCTCCTGCGTCCCCACGTGTGCCAGCGGTCTACCTTCAATATCTTCGCAAGGGTCGTGCACGCTACCCATCAACGCTTTTAGTGCGAATCCATCCCATTTCACGCCCTCACGACCACGAGGTTAGCTATCGTCCCACGCAACCCAACCAAAAGGAGGTCTCTGATATTTGTTCCGTGGCATCACAGCCCAAATCAGGTATCGATGCAAAGACTGCAGCAAGTCGTGGTATGGCAGACGCGCGATCTTTGCGGGCAACCTGCCGGCAGCGATATGCGTCCGAGGGTTGTGTGCTCCCTGATCGGCTCCTCTGTCGTATCCATTCAGGATCACATGGTGCGCTAACGATACAATTTTCTCCAACTGGTCGTCTTCTTGCGGTCGCATCTGTCGAGTCACTCGTTTGTCCTATCCGGCTCTATGATGCAGCTGGTCACACCGACGGTGCTGGAATACACCTGCCTTCTGCAGCCACTGCGTGTGCTGCATATGGCCTCCAGGTAGATTGCGATAAGGAAGGGGCGCTCCTCCTCGCTGATCTTGACGGTCACCATGGCTTGATATATGATTTGCGCTTCACAGCGGATGAACGATTTCTCCTCTCGGCATCAGCAGATGGTCTTGCCAAAATTTGGGATCTCGGGTCTCTAGCCGCGCTGCCTGATCCAGTGCGACCAAGTCGAGCACCTCAGATCCTCTGCATCATTCGGGAACCTTCTGGGCACTACATTTACGCTGCTGCCTTCGTAGCCATGGTCTCACGTTCCGGGGCTGTCGTGGAATCTGTCGAGAATCGGCCACCCGGCCCTGGCCAGGGGTGGGCGACCAGAAGACGGGATGACAGCGAGGTGAACGCCACGCGCAACGTGGTAGGGCATCAACAAAACCCAGACATCATTGCAAAATTATGTCCGCCTATACTCACGGGCGCTTACAGTGGGGCTTTAGCGTACTGGGACCCGGGAACAGGGTCCTCACTTGGTCTCCTGGGTGGTGAGATTGTTCATGATGGTCGTGTGCATTGCATCGAGGTTGATCAACGTTCAGGCCGCATCTACAGTGGTGATTCAACTGGTGCCATTATTGTCTGGCGACGGAACGGCGATGGAAACTGTGTCAGCCACTTTGTCAAAGCTCGTAAGATTGAGCACGCAGAGTTTAAGTGCAAACCGATCATGTCTATGCAGCTGCACCCAAAATGTCGACGTGGCCAGCTCCTGGTCCAAGCACAAGCTTGTACGCTTAAGCTATTTGATCTGACAACAGCGCAACCAGTAGCTCACTACAAAGGCAATGTTGTCAACACAGCATTGATACGAGCGAAATTTAGTCCCGATGGGAACATCATCATGGCTGGCTCCGAAGATGGGAAAGTATACGCCTGGGATACCAAGTCAACAACACCAATTTTGTTGCCAATGGCCCATGTCGGATATAACGCACCTCTCTGTGACCTCACCTGGCACCCAACACAGCACGTTGTTGCGTACACGTGCTATGGTGGTGATCATCCAATACTTCTATGTTTTTCCCATCGACCCGAGAACCCCAGGTATCTCCTTGAAAACTCCGCTTTGGGTGCAGTTTCTCATCTAGATGAGGATCGTGCGGCAAAGCGCAAAGAACGCCTCCGGGAGCTTCAGATGCGCCGCAGAGGCGACAGTGGCCTAGCGATATAGTAAGAGGAAAACCGGCCATTATCCCCCCCCCCCTTAGTCACAAGGTGCACGATGGTCCTAATCTAAGAGGTGTATATGCAGGACGGTCCTAACCCAGGCCAAAAATTGCATTTACTGGCAGTACAATATGTTTCCGGTAACGAGTTAGTGAGTTTAGACCACCTATCATCATCCAGCTAAATAAAACTGCTGGCTGTGGTGGTCCTCTCCCAGCTCGCCGCTTCCCCGGGGTCCGGGGTGGCGCGGCTTATATTTTTTGGGTCATATGGTTTCTGATGGCATCCAAGGGTTGGGTTTGAGTGATGATTTGCTGAAGCATTTTAAGATATGGGCGCTCGATTACCGGGTAATGCCCGGGAGGCCTCGGTAATTACCGGTAATTACCGGGTAATTACCGCAGAAGGGTAATTACCCGGTAATCAGGGCGTCCGCGGACGGCTAGAGGCGGTATGGCGGCTCGAAAGGACCACCGCGAACCCGCGTGTCGACCGAATTCTCTTTTAGGTGGATTCCACGCGACAACGCCGGCGGCGCGCTACGGCGTGGGGGCCGTCGCCCGGCGCGCCCGTCGCGACGTCGCGACGAGCAGCCGCTCGGTCGCGGTTTCGCGCCGCGCGTCGACCGCGACGCGAAACGCGACCGCGACGGGCCGCGACGCTCGGATCGTCACTCGCAGGGGCAGCTGCGAGAGTTACGTGGACTGACCTACTGGCGTTAGCGCCAGGGAGGGAGGATCTCAGTACTTTGGGATAGGAAAGGGAAAAGAAAGGAGGAGAGCCTCCTCAGTGGGGAAGGTCAGTCAGGGTGGCGGTAGACCCAGTAGACTGAGCCTATGGTCCTGAGAAAGGAGGAGAGCCTCCTCAGTGGGGAAGGTCGGCCTTGAGGGTAGGTTGAGGTAGAACTTGAGGGTAAGTTGAGGAAGAGTCAGGAAATAATCCTTGAGCTCCCCCTATTTCCTGATCATCTCAAGGAGTCGAGAACCTTGGTTCAAGGGCAAGCCGTAAGTCTGCAATCGTGCGCTCTAAGGCCAAAACGCGTTGTTCCAGAGCGATTATCGGATCCCGCCGTGCTGGGACAATATCCTCTTCAACTGGAGCCGGGACAACACTCTCTTCAACTGGAGCAGCATTGTCTGCGACAACAGGCATCACCTGTTGAGGCTGGTGCACAGCTAACAACTCCACTATCGATGTCGGCGCAACGAAATTCTGTGGCTCTGCACCTGTTTTCTTCATCAGGGGCAGAGGAAGATTGCATTGAAACTCATCCATAAACCATTCCTGGAAAACTTCACTCATAATTATTAAGTTAAACATTTCGACCCTGGCACGTCCATTTCGAGTCTCGTATATTTTGAAACGGCTTAGCAAATCCAACTCTTGACCAGTTCCAGAGTTGTGGACAAGAATTTCCATATGAAATCCATCAGGCACATGTATCCCTCTTACCACTATATTTCTGTTAGGGTAATAGCCACTGTTTACAATCGCCTGCTGAATATAAGTATAAGATGGAAATTTGTTGTCCCGTTCCAATTAAGGGAACGGATGAGGTCTTCAAAGACTGCCATAAATAGGAAGGCACTTGTCCAATGCACAGCATTTATGAAATGAACCAAAACCATATCCAATTGCCTCTAGCTGTGACCACAACACAAGGCAAATGGATATAAGTTAAGAGACTTAGCGAGCGCGCTAAAGTCCAAGCTTATATTTTCAGCCAATGAAAAGCCTGCGTTCGCTTTCGCCTAAATGTCGAAGGTTTCTGACCTAATGTTAAGCATGGCTTTTTGTCAGAAAGATGAGCACAGCAAGACAGAGGGGCTGAGTCCCAAGAAGGATTTGTTGGCCATTGAGTAGAGGCAGGAGTCACGGTTTTGTTCATCGGCTAACGAGTCTGACGGGATTGTGCTCATGCCAAGGAGACGAGGGTTCTGCATAAACAGAG